TATTTGACTCTTGGCTCCCTCACTTCTTAATCAATTATTATAGAAAATTTAACCTCTCTGGCCCTCTAATAATAATAATAGATAATTGAAATGGTTTTAGTGAGAATTAGATGAATTTATATGCACAAAAGGTTTAAATGTAAATCAAGTGGTGGTACATGCTTGGAACCCCAATATTCTGGAAGGCTGAGGAGGAAGGATTTAAAATTCAAGTCTGGGTAATTTAATAACTTAGGGAGATTCTGTCTTAAAATAATAACAAAAAAATTAAAAATGGGTCTAGAGATATAGTTCTGCATGATGGTCTTTGCTTCAACCTCCATTATTTTTTTTTTTAAAGAAAAAACTTACATAAAAACCTGTTATTGGGGCTGGTGAGATGGCTCAGTGGTCTAAAGCACCTACTTAGAACAAGCTTAGCAAAGCACAGGGACCACGGTTCAATCCCCCAGCACCACATGCCAGCCAGCCCCACCCCCTGGTGGGCTGAGCCGGCCACACGCGCGCGCGCGCGCACACACACACACACACACACACACACAAATAAAATGAAAAAAAAAAAACCTGTTATTGCATGCCTGTAATCTCAGAATTTAGGAGGCTGAGGCAGAATTGTTGAGAGTTTGAGACAAGCCTGGACTACAAAGTGAGCTCAAGGCCAGTCTGAACTGCATAGCAAGGATGTGTCTCAAAAAGACAAACAAAAGAGGAGAGGAGAGGAGAGGAGAGGAGAGGAGAGGAGAGGAGAGGAGAGAAGAGAAGAGAAGAGAAGAGAAGAGAAGAGAAGAGAAGAGAAGAGAAGAGAAGAAGAAGAAGAAGAGAAGAACCTGTCACATAGCCCATGTTCAATGTTTATATGATTATTTTTTCCTACTGGTACTAGGGACTGAACCCAGAAGAACTCTACCATTGAGCTACACCCTCAGCTGCATTCTAATATGTTGTTTTAAAACAGGGTCTTCTTATGTAGCCAAGGCTGTCTTTGAACTTATAATCCTCCTGGCTCATCCTCCCAAGTAGCTGGGACTACAGGCATGCATTTCTGCAGCAGGTGTAAGGCTGTATTAATATTGTCTCTGTTCTAAAGGGTCTCCCTTCCTAGGCCTCCCAATGCGTGTGTCGGTTTTGCCTTACTGTGCCTGAGGAATTGTCCACATGCTCACGATCGCTTTCCTCTAGCTGATTCCCTCTGTGGCCAGTCTTCTGTTACTCCCTCCTCTCAGCAGTTTCCCCTTTCCTGCTGGCATTAGTCTGTAATATAGATTTTGACTGTTTCTACTACCCTCATGGATTAAGTTGTACATCCTTAGAGGAAGTTTCCCTTTGCTCAGGGTTAGTTCATCTTCCTTACCTGTGTACCCAGGTGTCCCAGTGTCTCATATTTTTTACTCAGGCAACACTAAAGGTTTCCCATGTGGACTGGAGGCAGGAGGACAGCAGTCAGAATACTGTAGTCTAATGAGAAAATGATTATCTTCAAGTCCAAATATGTTTTTCCTCATCCAGTTTTTGCGTCCGTTAAGCCTGGCCATCCAAGAGCTGCTGAATATGGACTGGATGCACTTGGGTGGAGACCATTACAGCTGTCCTTGTCCATGAGAGTATACATCCTAACCTCCCAGTGATGTTTTGGATTGTGATTACTACAAAACCTTGTATGTACTATTTGTCTTATACATTTGTACTAATATTAAAGTTTAATTTATAAACAAGGCACAGGAAGAGATTAATGGCAATTATTGATAATAAAATAAAACATAATGCACACTATAATAAAGGTATATGAATTGTGGTCTCTCTGTCTTGCCTCTGGTTCCATCTCTCTGCCTCTGGCTCTATCTCGTTGGAGCTAGAGTTATAGCACAGTGTTAGACTGCTTTTTTACAATGTACAGGGTCTTGGCTTGCTCTCCCAGCACTGCACCTACTCACACTTCTGGTGGTGATGGGAAATGATACAATGACTACATGGAGAGATGTAGCACGAACTACGCCCTGTGGCCTTAGCTCTTGTTTACTTTTATTCACGGATAACCATTGTGTGTATCATGGAGTATCATAGTAAATAAGCCCCCATGCACACTATGTGATCATCAGGTCAGAGTAATCAGTAATTTTTGTCTTTATCATTTCTTTATTTTGGGAATCTTGAGACTCTTCTAGTTTTGTTTTTTATTTTTAATTTGTGTATTTGGTACAGTTTCCCACTATGCAGATTGGACTTGTGGTGATCCTCCTATTGTCAGCCTCCCCACTGCTGGGATTATAGGCATGTGACACCACGCCCACACTTGGTTGGGGTTCAGCACACTCTGAGGGCATGTAGGACCAGGGATCAAACCCTGACCCCTGGCTTGCCTAAGTGGGTGTTTAGTCTGCTGAGCTATCTTGCCAGCCCTCTTCTGTTGCTTTATAAGATGTCTAATCAATCTTTGTGAACTAAAGCCAGCCCTCTGTACTGAGAACACTAGGACTTATTTCTTTCATGTAACCATATTTTGGAACCTATTATCCAATGTCCCTCTGTCCCCTCCCTACTTCCCTAATCTCTAGTGACCACTATTTTACTCTCTACTTCTATGAAATCAATGATTGTAGCTTCCACATAAAGCAAGAAATGCAATATTCACCTTTCTGTATTTGGCTCATTTTCACTTAACAGTGTCCTCTAGTTTCATCCACATTGCTATGAATGATGGGATTCTATTCATAATTCAAACCTGAATAATATTCTACTGTGTATTATACCACATTTTATTTATTTACTTATTTATTAATATCACATTTTAAAAATTCATTAATACATTAATGGACACCTGGGTTGATTCCATGTCTTTTTTATTGTGAACACCACTGCAATTGATTTGATAATGAAGGTATCTCTTTTTTTGTTGTTGTTTTGGTTTTTTTTGTGGAACTGGGGATTGAACTCAGGCCCTTGCGCTTGCCAGGCAAGTGCTTATTCCATTGAGCCATCTCCCCGGCCCTTGAAAATATCTCTTTGATATAATGATTTTGCATACTAGGAATACACTCTGCTACTGAGTTACACTGCCTGCCTTATTTTTTGTGTTCTGTGTTGGGGTGAGATGTTATCTTACTGTGGTTTTGATTTACATTTCTCTGTAATTATGATGTTGGGCATCCTTTGTTCATGTATTTGTTGGCCATTTTTATGTCTTCTTTTGAAATATGTCTACTTAGATCATTTACCCACTGTTAAATCAGTCTTCTCACTGCTGAAGATAAAATTCAGGACATTCCACTCAGTTACTACCACAGTCCTTTAAAATAATTTTGAGACAGGGCCTTGCCAAGTTGCCAGGCTGGCCTGGAACTTGCCATTTTTCTGCTTCAGCCTCAAGAATAGCTGGGATTAAAGATGGGCATCACACACACTTCAAAGTTATTTTTGTTTTGTTTTGCTGTTATCTGAGGCTCTAATTTTTTGCATTTTGAGATGTAACAGCAAAATTGTCCAGAATCTCTTTTTCCTTCTTCTCAAATTTGCAGACCAAGGATGTGCTCTGATGTGAATTGGAGCACACTCAGCCTATAGTGTTTTTCTTTGCTTACTCAAGGACTGGTACTTTTTCCTTGAAGGAAACATTCTATGGCTTCTGTTTGCAAATCTGACTCACTAGTAACACTGCCCTGGCACTGTAAGGCCACTGCTCAGTGAAACGAAGGTCACATGGGCACAAGAACTGGGACCCCACAAGCTTCAGTGTGGCAAGTGAGCCTCCAGTAACTGACGAACAGGGTGATAGGGCTCTAAGTGGGAGGGCCGTGCACTGGGGGGATGGAGTGAGATGGAACCAGAGTCTGCACATCGCTCACAGATGTTGCAGAGCAAAACTGATGAGTAGTTTATTTCTGGGATTTTTCACTCAATATTTTTAGATGACAGAGAGGCTTAAACACTGAATGGTTTCCCTTTTATGTGAAACTCAAAATAAAAATAAAGAACAAAATGAAATTTAAATAATGGGAGGTATGGAGATCTTTTTCAAATGGGAGCAAGAATGAAAGAGCAAATAGAAGCAGCTTTTACAGATAGGAAGGGGACCAAGAGCTGGATGGCACAGGAAGGGGTGGAAGGGGCAGGGGACAAAAAAGAATTAAGATGTCTCATGTCCAAGACCAGTTCCACCCAAAGAATGTGACCAGCGGGTACTGCAAACATGCACTAATAAAAAAATAAAGAATGACTGAAATGGAAAACTGCCAAACTGTTTTGTGAAGTCGCTGTATCATTTCTGTATGCTCCAGCAGGTAGGAGTGATGCCCTTTCTCTAGCTTTTTGGTCAGTGTTTGATGTTGTACCTACAGCCGCACCTCACTATTCCCATGGGGTGTGCACCTGTGAAAGTGCCCCCATCATGGACTCCATTCTTCTCTGTTCAGATGCTCCTCAGGGTATGACAGGGCTCAGTCCCAGTGGGTACAACATAGGTTGAAAGTACTGTAAAGTTGAAAATGCTCTTAATGCATCTAAACTACCCAACACTGTGGCTTAGCATAACCTCCTTGAAATGTAGAACGTCTATGTTGGGTTACAATGGGACAAACTTGTCCAGGCCAAAGCCCATTCTGTAGGAAGGCACAGAGTGCTTTGTGTAATTTCTTTTTCTTTTTTTTTAATTAATTAATTAATTTTTCTTTACAAAATCTCAAAACAAGATTTTAGGAGAGTAATAATGGTTAGTACAATGTGTATTGTTACTGCCAAAGTAGTTTCTCATATTACAAGATATAGGCAAGAAATAATAAATAAACAACATAGGTACAAACCTCTGTTTTTTTTTTAAAGTCACCAGAAAATGGAAATATACTTTTTAAAGTTTCTAATACTAGGAGAAGATATCATACAATGTCTTTTTTTATTTTTAAGTAAAACATTTTAATAGGAAATTAAGTGTTAAAAAAGATGAAAGTACATTTTTAGCCTGCCAGGATTCTCATATCTGGATGACATCTACAGGCTCATTATTGGTTCTAAACTACATGGAAAGCAGAAAAATTATTTAAACCCTACAACTATAAAACAAAGTCCACTGTAGTAATTAATAAAACTTATGAAAAACCAAAAACACTACCATCCATGTTTCTATGTGTCTTTTCTGATGTATGTGACATACCAGTCTAGAAAGGTATAGTATCATAGGGAATAATAAAGTTGAGTTTTGAAGTCTTTCCTTTATCAGTTTGTTTTTTAAGAGTTGAAAAAAATGTGAAACTTAAAACTTTAACTAAAACATTAATTTTAGCGATCATAAAAATATTATGACATTTATGAATAGATACTGCAAATGTGGGGAATAATAAACAAAGCAGAATTCATGGTTACCATATTTACACATACTCTTTGTTGTGTTTCAGTGCCACATGATCTGATTCAAAGTAATAAACATCAGGATCATCATCTTCCTCTTCTGTAATGTGCTGATTGGCACTCTCTTTGGCAGGTGGCATACGTCCAATGCCGAGTCTTCCCTCTGCAGGTGGCTTACTTAGTCCTTCACTTCCATAGTTCTGAGAGTCACAACATAAAACCTTTTCATTTTGAGAAATTTCATCAGGATTTGTGGGAGATTCACTTACATTATCACTAGCAGTTGCATCTGTTTCACTGGGACTAAGATTATTCTCAAGTTGTCCATTCTCTCTGCAAGGAGAACTGATTTTAGTAGGACTAGCTTGGGCAGGGGTGGCCCTGCGTGGTGAAGTTCTCAGGGTATAGCGATGTTCTTGGGGTTCTGACAGAGACGTCATCTGAGCTGAGATGCGGTCTAAAACAGACGATGGTTCTGGTTCTCCAGAGACTGGCATACTCTCAAGATCTGCATCCAAGACGTTACTGCTATTTTCATTACACTGCTCTTTTGAGGCACTGCTATCTCCCACCACATCTACTTCCTCCTCAGAATCTGTTAAAGATGACTGAATTTCAGAAATGGGACCTGAAGCTGGCTCAGTGGTCAGCTGATTAACACACTCCACAGACAGGCAGGCAGTTACTATTTTGTGGTCCTCCAACTTGACCTGCACTTCTGAATCTGTGCAAGGCACGTTATGGTCTATATAACTGTCGTCCCTCCTATTATCATGGAACATTGACGTCTGGGTTTCCGAATCCCCATTTTCAGCTACTGATTTCTCCTGCAATGCATGGGAGCCAGCACTATTTTGCTTAGCATTCCCATCAGGCTGACAGTCATCACAGTTTATACCAGCAGAATCACTGTCATCAACACTGTTGACAGTCAGATAGCCTGTGAGTTCTTCAACTACTGCAGAATTAAGTGGCCCTTCCTCACTGACATTCACCTTTTTAACTTCCCTTTTCTCACAATCATCCAGTATAAGACATTGACAAGCGCGTTTAGTCCCTTGAAAATCTGCATCATTGTCCACTCCTGCCCTCCTCTGTTCTACTGACTCCTTGTCTGATTTGATAGGTGAATCTTCTTCTGAACTGTTTGTTGCTTCAGATCTAAGACAACGTTTAATTCTTTTTAAAATTGGTGATACAGGTTCTGTTTGCCTTCTCTCACAATTTTCTACAGCCTGCCTTTCTAGGTTATCCTTTTCGGAAGAAGAAAGTCCTCTTTTCCTAGGGCTTACCCTTGATTCTCTTGTACTCTGCTGCTTTAAATCAGTGGTTTTTCCATTATTATTTCCTTTCTGAATTTGCACAGGCTCTGGTCTCTTCTTTGGGGATCTTGATTGCACTTGAGAACGAGAAGAGAGTTCTTCAGGGTGAGCAATGCTACGATTCCTTAAAGTTCTACCACAAAAAGATTCATCCAAGCCATTTAACCCCACTGTTGATCTTGTAACACGAGTGGATCGGGAAGCAGCCATACTATGGCAAGTCCCTACAATACGGTCATCATGATCCACTCATTGGGAAACCTGTATAACCAAATATCTATCATTGTGGAAATATTATCTCTTTTCCTTATATCCTGAAGGAGTTGGAGCTATGTCTAGAATAGAGCTTAAGCGTCAGGGTTTCAGACTCTCAGCTTCAGCCATGGAGAATACTAGAAACTCTTAAATTCCTTT